GAGGGAGGAGGTAAGAGAAAAGAAGATAAAATTTTGGTTAATGCTAAATTTGGTCCCTCAACTTTAGTGAGTTGCACATTTTTGGTCCCTTAATAATTTTTTGCATTTTTTTGATCCCTCAACTACAAGAAATGCACTCCGTTAGTCATTTTGTCAATTTAGACTGGTAACTACAACACGTGGCATTTTTTTTATAATTTTTTTAATGACATGGTAGAAACAATTTAAAAAAGCATTGATTTGGAATTGTTTTTAAGACACGTCATCGCCAACTCATAAACCGATTTTACCTTAATAAAAAAATATAAAATTACAAATTTACCCATCTCCTTTTCTTCCCCTCTTTTGATCATCTTCTTCCCCTCTTTTGATCATCTTCTTCCTTTCTTTTTTTTCTTTTTCTTTCTTCCTCTTCTTCCTCTTCCTCTGTCTGCTGGGTTCGGTAGAACCCAGATCAACTGGGTTCGAGGAACCTAGTTTGCTGGGTTCCACCTGGGTTCGAAGAACCTAGCAATTGGGTTCCATCGGAACCTAGCTCGGGTTCTCGGGTTTGATGAACCTAGTTTGCTGGGTTCCTCAAACCCAGCTGGAACCCAGCAAACTGGGTTCCTCAAACCCAGCTCCAATTTTTTGTTTTTTGTTTTTTTGTTATATGATTGTTTGCGAAGCTTATCCAAGTTGGGATTTTTGGATCTTTTTCTTCATATTTTTTTAAGTATTATTTAAATGATTTCAATGTTCAAAATAGAAAGAACAGAAGTAGTTGGGCAAAGGTGGGTTTCCATTTGTTTGGCTGGAAAATGGTATGGTTTGGGTGTTTGGATGCTGAGAAAATGCTTTAAATTTGTTTGGTTGCTGAGATTTAAATTTGTTTGGTTGTCGAGATTGGCTAACGACAATCTATAATGTCCATTAAAAGAAAGAAAATTTGATGAAAACATTGTGATTTAATTATAAATTAATTTAGAATTTTAATTTGTTTGGCTGGAAAATGGTATGGTTTGGGTGTTTGGATGCTGAGAAAATGCTTT